CACTAGTGCCGCGTAGTGAGAGGGTTTTGAACTAGTATGAAAGGACTTGGTCACCTGAACAACTTTGTTCAAGACGGGAACTTTCCATATGGCCATGATCACGTGATATTCTATGTTGGATCAAAATGTAATATATTATAGAACACGTCCCAAGTAACCAAAAGTTCTGATAAAAGGCTTTGTGGCTTAAGCAGCTTAGTTGAAGGTGGTCTATAGAATTCTAAGCAACCTCATTTTTAAGTCGTTATAAGAACTTGAAATTTCCGGTACCATAATTGAAGAGCATTCCAAGCAGCCTCTGGCGGAACCTGAACGGAACTGTTAGAAAATAAATTAAAAAAGGTTTTTGTCCTCTACACCAATTCTATATTTAGTTCGCACTTTTATGAAAGTTATTTCTAAAGGCAGGTATTAATGTGTATTGATTTATCAGCATTAGTAGCAGTAGTAGTAATAGTAGTAATAGTAGTAGTTTGAAGAATTAAACCCAGTCCGTCCTTTTGCATGAGAGACCCAGCGCGAACCGCTACGTCATCTGAAATATATCAAAGTGAGCTGTTGTCCCGCCTACTGTTGGAGTTTTCAGTGCCAGCTGGCTGACATGACTACGAAACACAACACCTTGATGAATGTTAAATTGGTGTTTGCCCGCATAGTATTCCAACACACTTGTGGCGCAGTGGTTAGCAATCGTAGATTGCATGCGGAATACACGGGTTCGAATCCAGGAAATTACTTTTTAATTTTTTTATGTTTGGAAAGAATGTCGATGCACTGCGTAAATATAAGAATTATGATTTATTCGGGCCACTGATTATTTCATATTTATGTACATTAAATTTTGTTACTAATAAAGACTTGTGAGGATTGCTTCATGTGACTTGAAAGTTCTGTCGGAACTTTATTTGAACTTTATGGAACTTGAAAGTTCAGTCGGAACTTTATTCGAACTTTATAGAACTTGAAAGTTCTGTCGGAACTTTATTTGAACTTTATGGAACTTGAAAGTTCTGTCGGAACTTTATTCGAACTTTATAGAACTTGAAAGTTCTGTCGGAACTTTATTTGAACTTTATGGAATTTGGAAGTGATTTTAATCGTTTAATGCGGAACTTTTGGTTAGTTGGGGTCATAAGTAATATGAAAGTGAAGCGCATCTAGCGGCATAGTTCCCAATTATACCTATATCCAATGACACATATTTTTTTCGTCCTACCAAGTTCAACAACTTTGTCGAAGACAGTATAGCTTTATATATTGAAACTAATAAGATAATCCACCTCAGCTCCTTGAAGATCCCATAAGCTGTGGGCAGGCATGGCAAATCATTTACATTCATTTCGTGCATTCATTTACATTCATTTGCCTCTAACTTTGTTCATCAACAGAATTCCGTAAAATGACGTATGAAGCTTTTTGATATTTGCTACAACTTTTGTAAATAACTCAAATCTGTATATCTTTTGCATGATGAACCAGAGCGAAAAAAAACCCACCATTGTTTTTCAGTGAATTTCACTGAAAAATTATAACAAGTAGTAATCCTATATACAGAGATTCGCGGAAATATTATCAAACGAATTGGCAACGTTATTTCTTTTGTTTACAAAAGCTGCCTACACTTGCCGAGGAGCAAAAGGCTTTGTGCGTGACTTTGTCGTTGTCTACGCTACGAGTTTGTTTGTTTGCGTTGTTTGGATTCTCTGTGAACTGGTGAACTATTTTTGCCAAGTTTTGCCCCAACCGGTCGTGGAAGTGCAACGAAGTGTAACAATGTGAGTTTTTTTTCGGGTTTCCGAAAAACGCTGAATTTCGCAAAAAAAAGGCTGGTAACATTCCCTATACACTTAGTTTTTTCTACCGAGCTCGGCTGCGCAAATCTCGACAAAAAAAGCTTTACTGAGATCTCAGCAAACATTTCATTTGTTTGCTGAGATTCAGCTAAGCATTATCCGAGACTCAGCAATCAAATGTCACTTTTGCTGAGATTTCAGTGAAACTTATTTTTGCCGAGATTTGCACAGCCGAGCTCGGTAGAAAAAAAACTAAGTGTGTATGGCCATGATCATGGGATATATAGCACCCCTCATTAGTAATATAAAATATAACGTCTCTAGCGGCGTAGTTCTCAATTCAACTTGCATGTATTTTTTTTATATTTGCTGCACTATGTATTGAACCTAGAATTTAATATTTTTTCGCCTTTTCCATATACAATGGGAGTTTCGGGAGGCTAAGGGGCTATTCATTATCTACGTTGACAGTATTTTGAGATTCTGACTCCCCTCCCCCTGCGTAGACAATTGTAAAAACACAATTTTTAAAATGTGTATGGCCCGTGGATAATTGCCAACCCCTCCCCTAAAACTGTCTACACACTAAGATTTTGTTCCCGTGTTCGGTAAATTTTACCGAAATCAGAACAGCTGAACGTTCGGTAAAACTTTGACCTTAATTTTAAAGGCTATTGAATTTGAAAATAATTTCAAAACATGTTCAACCTTGTTTAACACTCCGAATACGATGCCTTCGAAAAACGTGTAACGGCAAGTTTGCAATGATCTAACTTAGCCATTTATTGATGAATTTCAAAAATTGTGGTACTTCTAGAATTCCTAGGGTCTGTTGATTATTTTGATTGTAAAAAGATTAAAAATAGGGTCGCCTACTTTATTCAAAAGCGAAAAGAGTCGTTACACGTTTTTTAAAAGGAGTGTTTATGGGTTTTGCAAGTGGCCTAAGATCCATAAATTAGATTTGTGGGCACACATGTTCATAATTAGCCAGAATGCAGTCATGGTTCTTATATATGGATCCTGGAGACAACGAAACTGTCCTCCGGAAGATTCGGAACATCTGAAAAATTGGTCAATCCACGAAACTGATCCTAGAGCTCCGCGGTCTTTTCGAAAACATTAAGAACTGTGATATAAGAAATAATTTAGGGTCGTTAAATAAACATGGTCCCAGATGGCCATGAGACCGTCCTCCGGAAGATCCGAAAGCTTCACAGTTTTTTTTTTCGTAAACACGTGGAACTGTAATATAAGAAATAATTTGGGGTCGTGACATAAACATGGACCTGAATGGCTATGGAACCGTCCTTCGGAAGATTCGGAGCATCGGTTAAAATTGGTTCCTCCATTAAACTGATTCTAGTGCTCAGCAGTTTTTTTTAATTAAGCCTGCTTAGGTCCTGACGTAAACATGGACCTGGATGGGCATGAGACCGTCCTCCGGAAGAGTGGTAAATCCATGAAACTGATCCTAGAGCTCCGAGTTTATTTAAAAAATATTAGAACTGTGTTATAAAAATTAATTTGGGGTCGTTTTATAAACATGAACCTGGATGGCCATTGGACCGTCATTCGGAAGATCCGGAACATCCGATAAAGTGTTTCATACATGAATCTGTGAAAAAACCGTGATTTTCGTTCATAGTTCGACGTGTTCTCGAGAAAACCGCGAAGTTCTAGAATCAGTATCATCGATGCACCACTTTTACGGATCTTCCGAACGACTGTTTCATGGTCATTCGTGTTCATGTTCATGTAAGGACCCTAAATTATTTCATATATCACAGTTCCACGTGTTTTCTAAAAAACCGTGGAACTTATGGATCAGTTTTATGGATTGACCATTTTACGGATGTTCCAGATCTTCCGGACGACGATCCCATGGCCATACAGGTACATGTACCATGACTCCAAATTCTTATATCACAGTTCCTAATGTTTTTTGAAAAAAAAAACCAAGGACCTCTAGGATCAGTATCATAGATTGAAAACTTTTACGGATGTTCCGGATCTTCCGAAGGACGGTCCGATGGCCATCCGGGTTCATGTTTATGTCATGAATCCAAATTCTTTCTTATATCACAGTTCCTAATGTTTTCGAAAAAACCCGCGGAGTTCTAGGATCAGGGGTTTATGGACAGACCACTTTTACGGATGTTCCGGATCTTTCGAGGACCGTTCCGTTATCTCCAGTTTCCATATATAGGAACCAAGACTGTATTCTGCTTATATGAACATTAGTACCCATTAATCTAAATTATGGATCTTAGGCCACTTGCAAAACCCACACTCCTTAAAAAAAAACGTGTAACGACTCTTTCTGCAATTCAAATAATCTACAGAGTCTAGGAATTCTAGAAGTACCACAATTTTTGAAATTCATCGAGAAACGGCTAAGGTATGTCATTGCAAACTTGCTGTTGCACGTTTTTCGAAGGCTTCGTAGTCGGCATTAAGTATTTTACCCACCGTATTCGGAATGTTAAATGATCATATCTTGTCATTTTAGTGGAGATTTAGTTTCAAAGTAGCTGAAAAGCAATTGAATTGAATTGTATAAATTTTACCGAAAAGTTCTGCTGTTCAGATTTCGGTAAAAATTACCGAAGTCGGCGATAATTTCTAAGCGTGTAAGATTGAATGAATAGCCCCTAATTGGGGAATGCTATTGAGGATTGCAATAAGATTTTGGGGTGAATTTGAAGGTGAAATTCAAGAGAATAGTGCGGAAAATCCCTATAGTTCAGAGAAGAATTCCAAGGCAGTTCAAGTAAATCCTAAGGAATCAGGAATTATAATTCAAACAAACAATGCAAAGGTTTTAAAGGAATGGAGCAACCAAAATAATTCTAAGGAGCTTTATAAAATATCTAAGATCAGTTTCAAGTGAATTTCGATTATTGTTCCAAGATTATTCCGGGAGACTTTACAGAGCAGAAATCTCAAAAGAGTATTCTAAGGAAATTTTGAGGAACATTTCATGGCATTTTTAAGTATTGAGAAGTTTTCATCACTTAAAAATAACGTCAAATGTACTTCAAATGTATCAAAAGTACTAAAAATAAATAAATTTTTTGTTAATACTGATTTTTCAAAGCAAATTTTCCTCCATCCTCCTCGGTTCCTTCGAGATTTATCCCGCTATTTCGGAGCCTGGCTGTGGCCTTGGGATAAACTTTGGTTCATGGATGATTGAAAGATTAGTTTAATAAATTACAATTTATTTTATTTTATTACACGTCACTTTTACATTTGTCATGATTTTTATTTTGTATAACTTTTCAGTCTACGCAGAAATTTGAAAGTTTGCTTGTAGGATTTTGATCTAATTGTTCGGAATAGACTTCCTGATTTCGGTATTTTCTTGCATATATCAATTTTTTGTTTTCAACTTCAACTTCAATACATGATGTTTACCAATTTGAAACATCCATAATCTGTAAACTGCGTCTATTGCTACTGCATGTCTATCCTCTTTATCTACCAACTCACAAGCCTTCAAATATCTAAGTTTAAGGTTCGTTTTAGTTTGTGCTTACATTTGTTAAGTTTGTTTTATTTCATTAGACTAATTTTGACCTTAATTGTTCAACTTGTTTTCTGATTTGAAGGTCTCCTTTTCGTTTTGCATTTTCGTTCTGGATCTTCGGAATTGCTATTTGTTCGGTGTACCGATTGTAGAAAGCAGTTATCTTTCTATTTTTCAATCGATAAAAACTTTCTATGATCGCTTGAATTTTGAATGCCAGTGATAAAAATGTGTTGCCGAGATTTAAAATTAACACTGTTGTGTATTGTATTGTAACTCCTCGTAATTCTACGCTACAGACACTAACAACACTAATTACGATAGTAAGAATCTACTTCACTCGCGAAGATCGTTGTATTGAAGGTAGAGTCTACTGGGTCTTTAATTGAATTTCGAGGCAATATTGCGGTGAAAGTGTGTTCTACCATAGGATCGGAATCTGCTGTACGATCAAGAATGTATGTTGAGCAAATTTATGTTATTGCTGAAAAGTGTTTGGACATTGTTTGGGGTGAGGTTCAGGTTGGCACTCGTACTAGTTAGGAAGGTGTTCCTTAGTAGTAAGTTTAAGATTTTTTCTCTTCAGATTCCACGCTTTCGTTGCTTTCTTCTGAGCTGTCATCCTTTGGCTTCGTGGTTACTGCGCTCGTAGCAGCAGCAGCAGCAGCGGCAGCAGTAGTGGTTTCTGCTTTGGCTTCTACAGTGGTAGTGGCAGCTGGCGCTTCAGCATCGGTGGCCAGTTTAGCTTCTTCGGTAGCAATCTCGGCAACTGGTGCTGATTTAGCTTCTGGCTGTTCCGCTGGTTTTTCTTCTTCGGTGGCGGCTACAGGTACCACGGTAGTAGCTGGAGTTTCTTCTTTTTTCTCTTCTTCATCTTCGGTGCGGATGGCGCTAGCAGCATCATCAGAAGCGACAGCAACGGGTTCAACGGCATCAGAGAGCTTGACGGTGTCTTCTTTGACCTCTTCGGCTGCTACTTGAACTTGGTTTTCTTCTTTAGCTTCAGCGGCGGGTGCGACGGCAGCTACTTCGGAAGCATCAACAGCGTCACTGGTGGCTCCAGCTTGTACCTCTGGAACAGCTGGGGCTTCTTCCTTTTTGGCTTCATCGACTACAGCATCGGCTTTCTCTTCTGGAGCGGGATCGGCAGCGGCGACGGCTTCCGTAGTGGCTGGCGTTTCTGTTGGAGCTTCGGCTTCTACTTCTGTCGTCGCCGGTACCTCTTTGGCTTCAGCAGGTTGCTCTACTGGACTTGATACCGTTGGTACTTCGGCCACATCGCTAGCTGGTTCCACTACCTTGACTTCTTCAATGGCCTGTGGAAGCGGTGAAGTGTACACCACAGCGAACAGTGTTACGAGTAGTACTAACTGGAGTTTCATTCTGAAAAAGAAAAAAAAGTCGTAGGAATCCATTAGCATAAATCTGCAACTGCAATTTAACAGTACGGAAGAATATGTGTGTGCTTGGTTCATGGGCATACAAATGTCGCAAAAGGTCATTCATATGCCTATAATTGTAAATGATTGCAGAAGCTTTTCAAGTCTCGTTATGTTAAGAATGTCTACAAAGAATTCTTTCCGAACCTGTTGTTGATGTATTTGACGATAAACAAATTGATATGCCAAGGATTTGCCTTGAGCACAATGCTTCTGCTTTTTGTTCACGTGTTTGTTTGTGGCATTTGAGCACAGTCGAATGAGTAAATTAAATTATGCACATACGAACGAACGAACGAACGAACGGACAGTGAAACATGCTTCAGTTGTTACACATAAAAAACGAAGATGTTTCACCGGAGTAGATAGCTCCCGGAATGGATGCTGGTATGGCTATTTGTTCAGTGATAAAAGATTCGGTTCGTCTTCTTACTTGCCTTGTATTGCATTATAATGTCAATGTTAGGAAAGCTGTGCTCGTTACGCCAGAGTAGGTATATAACAGAGTGCGGTGATGAAATAAGGGCGACCCCTCTTTGGGTATGATGAATGTCAGGCTAATTTAGTTTTTCTTTGCTTGTTTTGTTGTTTCGAAAATTTATCTTGTGTTTCGAAAGATCAAACGGTGTTCCATTGAATTGTTTGTTAACAGAAGAACTAAGAATGTTCCTCTTAATAACAATGTGAATGGATTTTATTTTATTTGCTCACCGAAATATCACCATTGATTGATTGTTTACAATCCTGTTTACTTATTGGAATTTTCCAGCCGCTTGTTTATAGTTTGCTGGTGTACTTCATAGTTTGTTTCATAACAGCGAAATAAGATGACTATGCATTGCGTTGTGAGGAAATAAACCTATGTTCAATGAACTTGTTTATAAATGAGTCACCCTTAAGAGTAAATTTGATTAGGCTTATCTGATTTGTAGAACTCACATAGGGTAAATGGCTCTAATGTTGGCCTATGGATCTAAAGATTGGACCCGTCGCTAAAAATCTTCTGTTCTTCAATTTTTCTCAGAACAATGCGTCATCTGGGGAATACAAATGGATATAGTTGAATATGCTATATATATGCAGGCTAAAGTGGTCATTTTTATACGACAGATGAGGGGATGATTTGTACTTTTCTCAAAATTGTCCTTGCTCGCTTTCTACTCTCTATATACAATTTTCATACTGCGGTACTCTAACGGAACTATCAACTCTATACTTTCATCTCCTTATCTATCGTATAAAAATGACCACTTTAGTCTGTTATTTGACATTAGCATCTTCAACTATGTAAATTGTTAACTTCACGCAGATGTAATACAAACTAAATAGTTAAACTACAAATGGATTCTTTAGCTTGGTAGTGAGAAATTGTCAAACAATGCAGTCCTTCGAAATTTATGTATGGGCTTAATATTAGGGACACTTAGGCCGACATTAGGGTTATTAACCCTATGTGTTGCCTATTATACAATCATGTAATTTGATACAGTAATCCTTGCAATTGGTTTCCTGTTTACTCACTCAATTAGTCAGTACACGCGCAGCTATGAAGTAGCGCACCATACCGAAGGCGGTTGGTTCATTCCCCGTGCCTGTCAAGCGATCTTTTCGGGTTAGAAAATGTCTTGTTTTCTCTCATGGAGCATCATTGCTTTTGCAAAACAACACATAAGCTAGGTGATTAGCATTTGATCAAGGTGCATATATAGATATTTCAATACGCTCTATGAAAAAATGTTGTACGAGACAGTCGTAGAAATCAATCATTTCGAGGTTCGTAAAAATGGCTTATCAATCGATTCGATAAAAATTAAAAAAACAAAAATTTAATCAACCATCGAACTTGTCACATGGTGACCATAACCATAAGAATAGAAAGAAAGAAAGAACAACTAATAACATTTTGCAATAAGATAAAATCATCAGAAATTCGTTTAAAACTACCGAGCATATTATAAAAATAGTTTAAAATGTGATTTACGAAGAGCTAACTCTTGAGCTTTGTATTGTTGAATTGCTATTTACGTAACATTTATACGTTCTGTGCATTTCCGAGTAATAAAACCTTGAATGACTGAGTGTTCATGACATTCATACCAATTGTTTGACTTTCCATTTCGTTTGGTCTACAACCGATCATAACAAAAAAAAAAACACCGCATACCAGTGTTAAATGATTTGATCGGCATAATTGTCTTTGTACGAGGAAAGTGATCTTGAGTGCAGATCGGTCCATTGCGCACAAGGAAGCTTGAGGGAGTTGATGAGCTATTTAGGCTGAACTTCTCAAATGCCAACTGTTCTTTGAAGTTCTCTCTGCCATACTGCCGCTGGTTAGTAATTAGCTGCGTTTCGTGTTGAAGAAGATCGATCGCTCTATTAGGTCGTAGCGTTAGAGATGCGAGTTTTGTTCCGTCTCAATTGGAACGCGCGAATCACTGCGGCCTTTAGCGTTGAATTCTTACGGTTTTACTCGGTTTGAGACGGAGAAAAAGAACAAATTGCTTCCTCTAGAGACAAGCAGCAAAAAATCCATACCATTCTGGTAGATGGCGGGAGGGGATTCTTCGGAAGGCTGAGTTTCGAATTAATGAACAATTTAATTTATCTCATCATCCCTCGAGTTTTTTTTTCTCTATCTCTTCTCTGCGGGGCTGATTTGGGCAGTACGCGCCAAAGATGTTCGCGGATCATGATCGCGGCCTTGAGTCGGAACGTGGCCGCGATGTCCGTCCGTCTGTACCTGTCTGTTTGTGTTTAGAGCGCATGTTTTTGCGCATTTTCTTGGAGCCCCTGAGAAACGTTATGGTTGTCGAGCGGAGTGTTTATGGCTTCCCTATTAGTGTCATGAAGAAGAGCTACGGCCAGTGAGTGTCAATGACACCGACATGCAGGTAGCAGTGTTTGGTAGCGATTAATGTTATGTTTTTTTTTACTCTCTTTCAATGCTACTTTCCTGCTGCTGGCTGGTACAAATCATTCAGAAGGCGCTACGTGAGGTGCTTTAAAGGTGCACCAATTGAGTGCCAGCTGATCAAAAAAGTTTTGTTTTATTCAATACGATGGAGCATTACTTGGTCGGCGTGTCGAAGGGTATGTTTTGGTTATTACACGTTATTATAAACCAATCACGCTCCCATCTGTTTGAAGGTTTTTTCAATTACAGACACTATCTTTGATCTTTGAATCAAGCCGTGAATGTTTCTACATGCTATTTTTTCGATCGCCCGCTGTACGACTTTTTGTCGAGATTGCAACAATAAGCTGTTCAACCTCCCAGAGCACATTTGCGATAAGTTTGGCGCCTAATTTGCAATTTTCAAACGTAGATTTGGAAACATTTGGTATTTGAATGTGTCCACACGCAAAACAAATAGCATGCACATCAAAAGAAGTGTAGATTTTAAAACCTTCACAAGATGATTTTTTAGCCCTAGCGCATTAGGGTGCACTACCTTTCACCGGAAAGCTAGTTTTCATAATTTTAACAAATTTATTTAAAAAGCCTTCCGACGATCACCCTAATACATTTGTTACAGTTATTTTGCTTAACGACGTGTTTGGGTATACTCCAAACCATTTGTGAAAAAGTTAGACTGTTTGGGTTATTGTTCGTTTATGGTATTTGTTTATTAGGGCACTTTATACGGCATTTATTCATGCGGTGAAACATTAAATATTGTGTACATATTTGAGACATACCTGTAATAGAATCTTACATTTTCCAGTTTACCCAGATAAAATTTATTCACCGATATTTTTTTTGCACGGTTGTGCTTTTTTTCCTTCTGTCTTCAAATTATACCAAAATTGAAGAATAATAGAATAAAGCATTCAAAGTGTTTTTATGTTACTTCATACGCGAAGTAAGCGATTTTCAGAGTTGGTTGGAAATGCTAACATTTCCAACCAACTCTAGAATAAAGAATAAAAAGTTGGGTTCTTAGAAAGTTTCTAAGTTAGCCAAGAAACATAAAAAAATGTAACCGTGCAATATGAAAAGAATCGGGTGTACTTCAAACTTAAGTTCCTCACTGAGTGAGATCGAACTCTTTATGCGCGAAGTACGTGTTTCGATTGTCTAAATCGAACTGAAATTTTGCGATAGCTATAGAATCCCCAATAAGCAGGGGGAAAAAAATATCTCAAAATGACAAACACGATCAACGAGCCAAATGATAACGTATTGTCAGTAACGGCAAGTAATAATGTAAATAACCTCTTACGTTTCTTTTTCATGAAAAACTCCGTCTGCGATATAGTTAGGTGCAAGGAAAAAGTAAAATGGTTTGTTAGCTTTTTCATAACATACGCAGTAGATGATTCACGTAAGTAAATGAGGTCTGTCATTTCACAATTCCAATCAAGTACAATATTACGAACATTAAGTCAAACTTGTATATCGACGCAAAAAGCAAGAAAAAAAATCAATCAGAACCTAGAAGCTACCCCGCGGTATCACAACTAAAGGATTCCTGTGGTCTCACGCACACTCTTCTGGATCTAGAGAACTCTATAGAGATCTCCAAGCGCAATCTCACAAACACTAAAATCCAACATCCATATATAAAAATGAAGAATAAGAAGAAACAAAAACGTATCGCGATATCACAACTACTTAAAAAGGTAGTGCGCGGTCTCACGCACACTTTTGTGCATCTGGAGAACTCGATTTTGCCAACAGCGTGTGTTGTAACAAAGCTTGTAAGCAATCTTATCGTTTTCCTTTCACCGTTACGATCAAGCTATATTACAGAGAGTCTTTACCTTGTTACCCTTTACCTGTTATTAGAGATTTAGTAACATTTAACGCACACGCACTAACTGGCCTATCTCCGTATAAAGTTACTTTCCTCTATAGATACTATAAATTTCATAGATAAGCGGAGGCACAAAAAGTTGTTTTGGCAACCATGAAAAATAAATGATCTTACTGGCATCTGT